TATAAAAATCTTGAATTCCATTTGAAATACTAACAGCAGTTGATGTATAAATTTTTACACGATATTTACGTTTTAAACAATATTTTTCAAATTCTTTTAAATAATTCGAATGAATAGGATTTGCTTCAAAACCAACTGAACAAACTTCTTTTGTATGTTTACCAAAAATTCGTTTAAAAAGTGGAACAACAGATGCATTTGGATATAATTGTGGTTCATAAAGTTTACGAATTTGTATACCAATATTTGTTCCCATATCAATGTAAATGTAACGACAACCATCGAGAAAATTTTTAGAGGATACATCAGAAAATTGTATTGTTGTTTTCTTTAGAGATATATCATTTTTGATTATAATATAAAATAGATAGATTAGAATAATAATAAATATTAATAATATCCATATTCTTCTCTTGAACCGTAATCGTTGACTATAATCTTTGTTTAATATTGAACTAAATCTCATTTGTCAATTAAGAAAATCTGCAAGCAAATTGCTCATTAAAATAACAACTGAAACTGTTTAAATATGCTCGTGCTATACACATAAAATTATAGGTATTTATCATACCAATTCATGTCTTCCTAGATATAAAATAATTCTTTTCTTGTAAAATTGCGTTAGTATCAACTGAAATTCACTCGGATGTCTTTCGATTACCTTTTCTTCCACACGAATAATTCTCTATCGTAAATTCCGCGTAAGACATTTTTTTTTCAATAACAAAGTAACCATGTGCTTGAAAATTTTGTAGTAGTGGCATTGGAAGAACAAATATAAAAATATTCGTTCACATTCATTTAAGAAACATGCTTCATTTTAATCGTTTCTTACACAAATAACGTCTACTACATTAACAACAAAATTATTATATGTTTGTTGGCAAGTATTCAAATAAGAATTTTTGAATTATGAATGAGAAAATTATATTCGTTTTGAGCAGGGTGGGTGTGGATGTGGGGAAGATCGATATTCATATCTGCACTCACACTTATATCCATCCTCTTTTTTTGTAATATTTTTCTCAATATAAAAAGACAATAAAAATCGAAGGAAAAATAATGAATTTATTTAAATAATAAAGGTGTTGATAATGATAAATCAGGAATAGAAAATTAGCTTTTTACTGTTTTTCAGTCTATTTGACACTTGTCGAAGTATTTTTTTGTGTAACATCATTATGAATTTTTTCGCCGAAAATGTTTTCTTTTGCATATTGCCATAATTTTTTGTATTGATTATGTTTGTGATCTGCTTCGATAATAACAATTGGTTCACGATGCGATTTACCATTTTGCAATTTCTTGCGTATAATACGTCGAAGTCTGCCACAAGATATACAATTTAATAAGCGTGTAAATTGAATCATGACAATACTATAATCAGAAAGAAGAAGATAAAGCATTTGTGATTGCCATAATGTTCCACGATCAGTTAATGAAGGAAGTTCTCCAACAGCCAAACCTAAAAATAACAAATATTATTACTCATTCGATCCTCTTCAAGATCTTATAAAATTTATCTTACTTATGAGTAAGTTGAGAATAAAAATGCAGAAGACAATGGCAGTGAGAATAAGAATGAGATAAAGAAGTGGATAATAATACGGTTCAGTACCATACAAACGATCTTCGTAGCCTATGTCAAACACAAGAAAACCAGTGCGTAGCAATGCTTCTATAGGTGTTTGAAATGGTTGTTGATTTTGTATAAGCATCCAATAAGTGAAGCCGAAACCGCAGATAATAACAAGTAAAACTGGAATAAATTTAAGAAATTTGAAGGCAATCAATTGAAGCATAGCAACAAAGATTCCGATGTTCAAATATGATGTACGTTTGACATATCCTAGAAGATTGATCCATGCTACTAGTAAACCCAGAGCACCAATTTGATATTGAATTGGGCAACGAATAATAACGGGACTTTGCCAATCCGTCCAGTCATAAACGTAAACAAATGAGAGAACGAGTGCACAAATTTCTGGCAGAGAACTAGCTATTCGAGTGATTCTGGGAAAGAGTGTAACTATGAGAATGATATTTTTAAAAGCCAATGTTATAAGAAAAGCGTAATAACTTTTTTTCACTCTCTTATAACTCGTTGTTTGTAATGCTTCAGGATCATTGGCAGCTGTTAGATTTTTTGATACGATTGCGCATGTATCGAGATCATTTGTCATATTTCGATTTGTTTTTGCAAAAAAATATTCAGGTTGTTTACCCAAAAGAATAATAGTTGTCAAAAGACCAAGGAAACAACCATAGAGTAAGAAAGTTAGTAGTCGCACTCTGAAAAATCCATACTTACTGTACATTTGACTACGTAAGCAAATATTATAGGGATGTTCGACCAAGGCAGGACATTTAGATTGTGAGCCGGCGATAAAAAGAGGATGATTACTAACAAGTGTATATGCATCATCGGTATAAGCCACCATATCGTTTGATTCATTATTCGACTTTGTGGGACAACAACAGCAACTGCAATAAAGTAATGTGCCACATCCTCGTCGATGCCACCGCTCGGAACATGTCTCTTCCTCGTTGGGTAATTGAAAGCCTATTATCAATAAAGATTACTTATAAAAAAATTTTATTTGTTCTTATTTTTTTTTGTCTCTCAGATAAATATGTTATATTTTTATATTGATCGACATTGTTTCAGTCTCGAAAAGATTAATACTACTGAGAAAAAGTTTACATTTTATAAATAAGAATTAACCTTATGTGTTAAGAACTACAATGATGCAAGATAGATTTTCCTGTCTCTAATCTCCCTTCTCTAGAATGGAATCCAACGCATCGGCGAACATTTATTTAACCTAATAAAGACTCTTACGTACGCCATTTGGCAGTGAAATTTATTGGTTACAGAAGTAGACAAAAGTCAGTTTCTGTTTATGAATTACTTTTTTGTCTTTGAAGATATTTTCATTGAACTCCTACTTTTTCATAAGACTTTATTATACATACACGTAAATAACCGGTATCACTTGTATTACTGAAAAAACAGTGATTCGACGGGGAAAGAAAAACTAACAATAACTGTTTACAATCTAGAGAGCCGATAGAATTATAATTGAAATAATCATATCAAATTTTGCTATGAAGTACAAGAAACTTGATAAACTGTCCGTACCTTGAGTATACCATTTTCTGACAAGAGAAATATCCTCATAGAATTCATAATCGTATAATTTCTTAAAAACATGATTTGCATGTCCGCCAACTGTTCGAGTTAAATTTCTATCGATCATCCATATAGTGACATTTGGCATATATCGAATCAGTTTTCGCATTGGTGTATCATAAGCTTCCGTATCTTTAACTGGATGAGAATTTCGCATTAAATCACGCCAATTGGGAAGTGTAAGAAGTTCCTTAACGATGTCTTCATGTTGATTCACAATGGCAATATCTAAGCAATTGTGCAATTCAGCATTACGCAATGTTGCCGAAGCACGTTTTTGAATGAGGTAAGCAATTGTTTTTCGGTGTCCATTTTGACATGCAAGATGAAGAGGAGTCAGACGACGATCTGCTATAGTATCAACCTCAAGATGAACCGTTTCGACCAAAAATTTGACAATTTTTAGTGCACCTATCAAAAAAGATTTAACTAAAAATAATGACAGAAAAAAATACTTCTCCCTTAGAAATCTAATCAGCCGTGGTCTATCCAACAAACACTTTTTATAATATGATTTTCTTCGTAAGCATGATGCTCGATTCTCACAAAACTTTTTATGTTAAATTGTAGACAGACAGAATCCTTTCTCCTTTCATAAATCTCTACTCTAATTACCTTTTGCAGCTGCTAAATGCAAGCAGGTTTGTCGATCGTCGTTTCGTTGGAAGAAGATTGGAAGGTATTCTCTTTCTTCAGGAAATCTGTTATATATGCATCGAAGAATAGGCAAGCCAAAATTTCTATCCTTGCTTTCTTCGTCGTCTTCTTCATAGTTTCCTTCATCGTTTCCTTCATCGTCTTTTTCGTCGGAGGCTTCACGTGTAGAATTCTTTTCTTCCGAAGAATGATCTTTCTCAACGTAATGGCGATCGGGTCCAATACGCGGAGGCATCGCTTCTGTGGCTATGTGAACAACAGTTTGACCTTGAGCATTTTTAGTTGACAAGGGCGATTTTTTGTATGATAAGGGCTTGAGGAGGAGTTTTTCGAATACATTCTTATGACTGGTGCTTGCAGCTACATGTAGAGGCCAGTTTCCATTATTATCTGCCTTTTCATGGAGCTCTGGAGAAGCAGCTCGATCCAATATCATGTCGAGTAAATCTTCAGATTTTTTATGTTTGGCACAAATATGAAGAATATTTTCGCCATCCTGATTCGTTTCATCAATGAGTTGATTGTCGGTTGTGTCCTAAAACATATTATTTTAATCAGTAATATTTTCATATTTTTAATTTCTTTATATATATATTAGAAGCACTGTTTTGCAAATACATACTAACCTTGAGCAAATATTCAACGCATTCCTTCGATCTATAGAAGACGGCTGTGAGCAACGGTGTGTAACCAGCATGATCACGCGCATTCACTTTGCATGATGTCCTATTTTGTGCAACTGGATCAATCAGCCATTTAAGAAGCTCAAGGTTATTGTATCGACATGGGAAATGAACGAGTTGATCAATTATATTAGGTTCACAAGCTTGAATAATAGGGCGAAGATGATCAAATTTTGGGCAGCGCCCTTTTGCTGCTTGCTCAAAAGCCATAATTAGTTGAATTTGCTCAACTTGATCTATAGATGATTCTAAGGGTAATTAGTTTATTGAAAAATGGATTGTAATACCTTCAGGATGCATTTTCATTTTGTTGATAAGCGTTTTCACAATATTTTCTGTGATCTTTGGATGACAAACGGCATTTATTAGTGGTGTTCGATTGTCTAGTGTATGCTGTCGAGCAAATTTCGCCGCTTTGTCTGCCCATGGAAGTTTCTTTTCTTCTATGTCTGAATCTGGTTCTCCCATGATGTACTTAAACATATCATGCAATTCGGATTCAGGCTGTCCACTGGGGATAAAAGCAAGATGGAGTATATTGGCACGCAATGCGGTTATGGCCTATAACATTAAATTATAAGATAGAGCGTTGTAGAATGTAACAGTGTGTTCTTCTTTAATTCTCACGTATTTATCTGCTTTCGTTTCTTTTATCAAGTAGTTGACAAATGGTAAATGATTTCCCATGACAGCCAGATGAAGTGGTGTACGACCTTCATCGTCAGGATGATTGACATCTGCTCCACGTTTTATGAGTTCTTTAATAAAAGCCATTGAGGATCCATCATTTCCACCTGCCGCCAATGTATTATGCTGTAATAAAATATCCATTATCTTTTTGACATTTTAACAGAAACCTTTTTGTAATTTTAGACGAGTAGTAGTAACAAATAGATGATCATTTATATTCTTTTGTAGTCTCTTATTTTCTATCGTACTAATGAATGAATGAATACGTACCTCCCAAATAGAACTTGATCGAGCGGCAATGTGAAGAACATTTTCTCCATTACCAGTGAGAATGTTAATATCTTGAGAATAAAAGAATGAAGTCTAAAAGTAATTTTTAAAAATACTAATATGATACAGACCACATCGAAAATCTTTTGAATTGAATGTCTCATTAGTCGATTCGTCCAAAACCACTGTCTTACCAGCCAAGCGGTTACAAACAAATGTGTTGTTCATGAAAACGGCATAATGAAGAGGGGCCCATTGTTTTTTGTCATCCAGATTGTTGACCAATTGTTTTCTGTATTTCTTGTTACCAATATAGTTTTCCAGTTTTGCGACGAATGCCACCCATTTTTCTTTGACCTTATGTTGATCACGCTGTTGATCACGCTCTTGAGCTGCCTAAATCATCAATCATTCGTCAATTTAAATATGTGAAAGACAAGTTTTCTTACATACCTCGTATAGTAGTTGTTGAGCTGACTTTTCTTCAATGACATCATACGAAATTAATTTATGATAGGATTTATTTTCTGAACCGGAATGTTTCAACGATGAAACCGATCCACGAGGAATTACATCAACGATGTGATGTGTCGATGACATCGGCATTCGGCATTTTTCAGGAGTTACACGCATTTAAATAATCTCATTGAAATAATAGAAACAATATAATTATTTATAGTAATGCATTTGAATCGATTCAAAAGAAATAACTGCTCAACAGGCAAGAGAGTGAGAACAATAAAATTCTCATTTGATGAAAAAATTCTAAATTTCTTTTCTGAATGAACACATGTTAAAAGCAGTAATCTAATATATCGCATCCTTACAATACTGACCTAATTCGATATCCTGAAAATTTTTGAAAAGCTGTAAGTCAAAACTTCATCATGAATCAAACAGATAAACACGACACAGTATGCAATGTTATAGTTTAATTATACTTCTAAGCAGTAACGAGCCCAATTTTTTTTTTAAATTTTGTACAAGGTATTAAAAAAGTCTTTTATTTTACAGTAAAATATCGAGAAAACCATAAATCATAATAATAATTATTGTTTTATGATAGAAATGGTTGTATACACTTACACGGTATCCATGAAATTATTCATTGACAACTGTCTCAACTTTAAGTGCAAAAATGAAATGTGCTTTTAAAAGGAATGAATACGAAAAAAACGAATTGTGTGAAAAAAAAATATCGAAAGTATTATAAATCCAGTTTCTACGCATTCTCGTGTTCTCACCTTAACAGCATCCATATCTCTTATTTATGCATGGTACTCTATGCAGACGTTGCATTTATAGTACTTTGATTTTTTTTCACACTCTCTTATATTGCGACGATTTTTTTCCTAGACTCTTTCACTGCGACAACTTTTTTCCGAGAATCTCATACTACGACGATTTTTTCCCAGACTCTTATATTGAGACAATTTCCTTTCCTATTCTTATATTGCGACAATTTCTTTTGTCAGTCTTCTTTATATACACCGAAAAAAGAATATTAATTATTTATATTTCATCACTTAAGCGACAACGTTCTCTTTCTCCCATTAATATTTTATCTCAAGGTTTTTCCCACAAGTCAAACAAAATAAAAGAATCAAACTGTGTAAGTTGAAAGAACAAGCATACAGACAGTATATATTTGTTAATGACATTTTTGCCCACTATGTTTTATTTACTTTTAATTCGAATGAAATCCTTCGGTTGATTAAATCTTAAAGGTGTGGGTGAGAGTGTGGGTGTTTACATAGCTGTGAATATGGGCAAGAAGATGACAATACTTTCGCTCACATCCACACCCAATCAATCACATTCACACTCTGCTTCTTAGAGAAAGTGAGACTCATTTTTTTTTCAAAATTCATTTTGAAACAAAAAAGATCATAGACTTCATTTGTAATTCAGCAAAGCTTACAGAAAAAGACAATAATCAGTGAATGCAGCAAACGAAAGAACAAATAAAAATAATTTGTTGTATCTTTGTTGCTTATCTTATTTGGAACAATATTTTATTACAGATGAATCTGTTGACTTCATTCGTGGTCATTGCCATTTTTTCTTCTCGTTTTAAAAGTCACTCTGTTAAAATGTAAGAGAAAATGCGCGCAGTCTTATCAGACGATATCACAGGACAAAAAAAGTCCGAAAGAAAGAAGCACAAGGACGTATATATTCATCATACAACGAAAATCATGAGATATTGTTATTCATAGCTTCAGGTGGATCCTCTTTTCATGATTCAACTGCACTTGGTCAGAGGTGTAGCAGATGTTCAGTTCTAGTACTAGCAAGATGAAGTCATTTTTTCTCTCATACTGTAAAAACTTCGAAGGCATTGATAAGTCGTTTAAAATCACTAAAATAGCTTCGACGATACTGATTTTATTGGTAAAAATTTGACAATTTCAAAAAAACATAGTAAGACCGTTGCACAACTTACCCTGAAAGAGTGTGTGTGGGCGTGAGTTCAATACACTATACTCACACCCACCCTTATTATATGTTTGTTAGCAAGTATTCAACAAGAGTGAGAAAACTTTTATTATACAAATTGAAACACGTATCTTATGTTCTCTTGTGAATTTTCTAATACGCATTCCTATTTTATTATATTCTAAAATGTTTTAATATTTTTCAACAAAAAACATATTATTGAAATTTAACCTTTCTTTTTTCTTACTACAATAAAAGTTATCTAAACTACAGTTTTTTTCTCATATACAATAGTTATTTACCACACCCTCATGGCATTTCTATGTAATTAAACTTCAGTATAAATGCTATTTTCATCGCTCAAGTCAAGTTGTTTGATAAATTCATCAAAACACGTGGAGAGTGTTTGAAATGTTGGACGATTATCAGGATTGTTTTGCCAACAAGAACACATTATTTCATAATATTGCTCATGACAATCATTTGGCTAAAAAATATCATCATTATAAATAAAAATATAAAAAAAGATCAAATTTTACTTTCTCCAACTGATAACCATCAAGTACTTTTTGTAATATTTCCTTAACTGAATATTGAAGATATGGAATTGAAATATAGAAAATAATTTCATAAAGAAGAAAACCAAAGCTCCATACATCTGACTTAATTGTATATTCATTTGTTATTACGATTTCTGGTGCAGTCCATCCAATTGATAGTTGAGACTCTTCATCAATTGTCGAACGATCATCTTCAAGTTGTTTTGCTAAACCAAAACCACCTATTTTAACAATATCACATTTTCCAACATATATATTTCGAGCTTAAAAAAAAACTTAAAAATTTTATGTTATTCTTAACATAAATTTACCAGTTAAATCAGAATGAACATAACCTTTTTCTCCAAGATAAATCATCCCATTTATAATCTAAATATAGACAAAATTTCTTTTTTCTAACAAAAGTTTTGTCTTATTTACTTGTACAATAAAATCCAATATAGTCCTTAATTCGATATTTTGTCCTGGTCCATCACGTAAATAATTTAATAGACATCCATATTTCATAAACTCCATTACAATCAATATTGGTTCTTCTAATGTACATACACCATATAAGCATACAATATTTTCATGTTCAAGTTCTTTCATTATTTTTGCTTCATGAAGAAATCGATTTTTATCATTTATTTTCATAGATTTAATAGCAACATTATGTTGTCCATATGTACCTTTATAAACTTCATTATAATAATCTTGACTGAGTAATTCAGTACTCGAAAGTTGACAACGATCTAATTCTGATAAACCATCATGAACAGTTGGTTCGATTTTTTGACATGGATATGTAAGTAAACAGCAAAGACCATCAGTTTTTACTTTATAAAAAACACACACAAAATAATGAAATTGGATAGTTCCATGGGGTATCAAACAAAGTATTTAAAAAACTTTCTTTTTCCTCAAACTTTGTAGAGCTTTTTTCGCTAATCATTTGCGTATGAAGAAGTTTTGAACTCTATAAAGTTTCCTTATAAAATATAGAAAAAAGTCGAGTCTCTGATCTTGAATCGACTGTATTTTATAAGGAAATTTAATAGAGTTCAAAACTTCTTCATACGGAAATGATCAGCGAAGAAAGCTCTACAAAGTTTGAGGGAAAAGAAGGTTTTTTGAATAGTTTGTGTTTGACACCCCATGGAACTACTCAATTTAATGATTTACTTTGATAATGATTAACAAGATTTTGTAATGATGGAAAAGTGCTTTTTCTACTAATATAATATAAGCCTTGATCTGTTCGAAGAATACGATAATGTTTAACATGAAAATGTTGTTTATCTTCATTAAAATCAAGAATAGATAATGATTCTTCACCTTCAATAGAAAAAAATGAAATTATTGAAAATATATGAAATAATTTTACTTTGATTTGTATCCGAAGGTCGAATTAAAAAAGTTTCTTTTCCATTATGTGCTTGTTGAAGAAATCGTTTAGCATCATGACGATTTGTTTCATTAAAATACCATCTACAACGAAATTTAATATTTTCGCATTTTTTTAAAAACTTACTCGCATGTTGTTAAGTCGATTATTGATGAGATGTGGTTTGCTGGAACATAACCAGGTTGGTTAGTTCGAAGATTTTTCGCTGACCACCAATCTTTAAAACTACAAAAACAAAATCAAAAGAGAAATAATTAAACAAAAAAAAATTACTTACGAATGTTTATCAATGATTTTTAATTTATCATATTTATGAAATGGTAATTCGTTTTTTGATACTATACCATTAAAATTATAATTAGCAACATAAGTTGGTTTTGCTGTATGAGAATGTAGTATTGGATATATAAGAGGAGAGGGTGGTTCTATCTCTTGTAATTCAATTGAAGAAACGTCATTGTTGTGAATAGAACAAGTTTGAACTTTGAATTGTGTCATAGGAAAAAGAAGAATTTCATCTTCTGATTCAAAATAAGAATGTTGACGAATATTTTTTCTAGAAATACATTCAATAGTCAATAATGTTCGCACATTTTGTTTTTCAACTTGTAAAACATCGGTTGATATACTACAAGAATTAAATCCACACCAGACAATCATTTCATCTGTTTTATATCGTTCACTTAAATCGAATTCAATTTCACGATAAATCTTTTGATGAATAGATGGAAGACGTGATAGGGCAGTAAGAAATAATTTAAGATAAAGAAGCCATGGTTCAAGTTGATTTCGTTCTTTTGATCGAAGGATTTTATTTAAAGCCACATGAAGGCATTGATCAATTGGTTTCCATCCCATTGTATAAATCATAATTGAAGCTGATTCATCATTTGATAATCTGTCAACTGGTTGCCTTTGACATCGTTGTTTAACAATAGTGACATAATATGCAATATCAGGTAAAAATGGTATTAGTGGTTCAACAGCATCTTCAAGTGGAACCAGTGACATATCTTCAATACCACTGATTGGTGGAAGCATTTCGAGTGATTCTACAGCTATATCTTGAATGCGACGAATATGATATGCTTTTTGTTCTTCACTATCACTAATGACAAAATCCATGATTATAGATAAGAATTTCTACACAAAACTTACTTTTCATTCAAATTAATTGAAAATTCAAGATTATTGATATTTTCATACATTATAGATCTAAAATGAAGGAAGATTATATGAAATAATTCATTTAATACACATTTATACTATAGAGAAAGACATAATCATATAGAGGTCAACACATATCTATGCGAGCAAAAGTTCAAATGATGCATTCCTAGTATATTGCAAAGTTCATCATATAAGGGTCAAACGACTTGTCCAATAAAATAGCGCTTTAACTATTGGTACATATCTTCGTTAAATTCAATGAAATTTATTAATGAGTTCTTCTATTCCTGGATTTTCATCAATATAAACAGAGTGTAGGTGCTTGTGTTATATTTATCAGAGACCTACACCCTCAAACAAATAATCGAGCATCTCTATTTTTTATATGTAAATTCAAAATAAGATATATTGCATGATGAAAACAAAATTTATTAACTGAGTATAACGTAAATCATTTCTTATGTTCTACATGACGATAGTAATAAACATATACACATTAATATAGTTTTGTATGCTTTCCTTCATTTCTTTTTCTTCTTCTTGTGTTTCTATTCTTGATTAGTTATTATTATACCATTTCTCTTGTCGTTTTCTTTCTCGCAAGCATTGCAGAATGGCAAATAAAAGTTGGTGATAATCAATTAATTAAAAGAAAATGGTATTGTATAAATAATTATTTACTCATCACTGATAACATCGAAGGACAAGAATTAAGACAGAAAACGATAAAAACACTATGCTACAGACTTGTAGCTATATTTTATTTAGTTATTTCTTCCTTCGTTCTTTTCTCTATTTCTTTAACGACGACGATTCATTAACAAACGCTTTGTTTGATATAGCTTGAAAAAAAAACTACGGTAAGATCGTCTATACAAAATATAATTCTCTCAATCATTACTTTCGAAAAATTTTAATAAAGAAATCTAAAAATAATTATCGATTCATCTTATTTTTCTTTTCTTGTTATGTACTAGAAATAATAATAATAAAAATATTCTTTAGGGAAAATCTTATTTATATAGTATCTTTTAATGACTCAATACTTTTCAGATTTTACATAAACGTCTTTACAATACACATTAGATGATTTGGATGCAAGTTCTACTCATTTTATTGTTGACATTCTATTGGCGAACTGTAGCCATATCATATAGATCAAACGATGATGCTCATGGTATAAGAATGTCATTTAACGATCAGTTCGTCGTAGGTGCTTTTAATCACAAGAACAAATATTATATTCGTTTCTTGACAAAGAATAAAGATATCGAATGTATAATTCCATATGAAAAACCCGAACTCTATATCTACAGTCTTTCTGTTTTAACGATGAAAAAGGAAAGTGAAACATTTTCATTTGTACAAATCAGTGAAAATGAAACGTCGAATGATGTTATACTGAGTCTCGTCAGTTTTAAAGTAACAAATTGTAATAATTTTAGTCCGCCTATAGCATATGATAAAACAGTGTGGAAAAATGGTCATCAAGAATCCATGCTGTTGAAGATCGATCCACAAGAAAAATATGCTCATGTCTTTGCTGACTCATTTATGCTTTCCTATGATTTATCGACAAAGAACGTTGCAATTTATGAATTTAATCAAAATATAATTCCGATTGCATTCGATCTAACTAATGAATGGGCTTTCTTAATTGGTTATACACCATCTATACGTGGTGATTTCGGTCATCCATACCTGTATGTTATTAATCTATTATCTAAAACTTGGTCAACATGTAATGATTCTAATGAAACTTTTCTTCCATTAATGTCTACACAGAATATATACAGTCGGGATCATGGTGTATCGATTTCAATCAATCCTTCGGGAAAATTTATAGCTATAGGAATTTCGGCAATTAATCGAGTACAAATTTTTGAAACATCTCACATTCGAAACTGTTCTTTTAAATCCATCGATAATATTCAATCAGTACATTTTTTGGATACGATGGGAATAGGTTTTGGTCAATCAGTTGCTTGGCTTGATAATCAAGGCCTACTCGCTGTACTCGTATACAATCCAAAACATCAATTACAACCCGAATCGGAAATACATGTATTTCAAACTCTTACACAGAATAATGAAATGCAACACGTATTGCCTAATTTTATTTTCCCTAACAATCAACAAACATTACCGAAGAATTGGACGAGCAAATCTTTCCTCCTTATCTTAGCACGTTCAAATAATTTAATGATTCTTTGCGATCGCCACAAATATCTCTATATCCCACTCACTAACGCTGGTAGCCGTCCAATACTATCTGACGAAAGGTATGTACTATATAAATATCTTTTGAAGTTTTAATTCTGAGTGTTTATTCTCTCTTAAGACCAAAAATTGCTTTTGTTCTGCAACCAAAACCATGTGTCAGTGGAACGTACAAAAACATATCCAGTATTGGTCCTTGTACAGTATGTCCGTCAGGAACGAAAAATTCTGGCAATTATCGAGCTATTATATGTCAACCATGCAATCCAAAGTCGTTTTGTCCATTGGGTGCCAGTGGCAATATACGTTACAATGACTTTCTATTGTATAAATCGTACAATCAAACATTTAAATATCCCGAATCACCTTTAATTGATGATTATGACGATATGTTAATGCGCAACTTTCTCGTTGTTGAAGAGACAATGGATTGTGTGTTCAAATTACCTCTTGTGTGGACACTTATAGCCATTGCAATGAGTTTCATTATATGGTTTATTATGTTTCTGATCAAAAGATGGAAACTCACCTCCGTCGACGTTCATCGTAATCGAGCGAAAGCATTTTTCAAACAAATTGATATTATAGGTGAAGGAGAATTGTTGGTAGGTGGTCTCGCATCATTTGTCGTTCTCACTATTATAATACATTCTTGTTGGTTTGCTCACGATTATTTGCATTCCTATCCTCTCGAGGAAGTAAATTCATCGCGTTTACATTGTCGAAATAACCAAGTTAATACAAAATTCGATAATGCTCTTCAATTACCTTTACCCGAAACCGATGGTACTTACGAGACGATTTTCGATATGCTTAACAAACAAAAATTTACGATGACTATTGATTTAATAAATACTGGAGCGAAATGTAACAATATTACTGTTGAACGACTGAGATATATGGGTGCTGCAGAAAGTATAATCAAACAGAATTGTACTCTCTTAGATCTCAATGTCACTGGATCGTTTAGCTTTGATCTATCTACCCATACTGATTTTGTACAAGTGACGATTCAAGGACCTTATTTTATTGGAGCTCTACGAATTTGTTTACATGGAGAGAGGGGTTTAGATGAAGTTCAAGAACAAAAACGTCATCAATTAGATGAACTCGATGTATGCACTCTCTTCTATAAAGAGAATCAAACTATCGGACTCTCGACTTATTTTAGTATAAATCTCATTAAAGTTATTAATGTTACAGAACCTCTGACAGCTACAGATGATACGTATTATTTTGGTAGATGGGCACCAAATATAAGATATGTTGATGATCTCTCAGATAGAGATTATTTTAAAAAAGATGGTCAACATTTAAGATATGCTTCACTTTCAACAACATTTAAAATTCGACTTAAAGAAGAATTTTATTTTCTTCTCAATAATCAATCGCCGATTGTTCGTCTGTATGAACTTATCTTCCATACATTTTTGTTTATTTTTTTAATCATTGATATTTTTGCTATGGGATTTGTCGTTTATAAACTTTGGTGTCAACCTCTCCTTCGACGATTGTTATCAGCCCGTCATAATATACTCAGACGCAAACTACAATTGAATCATACAGAAACTATGGCCGACGTAAGTCATTCTTTTTGATGAGACTTACTCAATTTTTTTCGAGTTAAGACGATCTGCATCACTGTATAACATAGACCATTTTCTAGCCTTCGTCACAACGACAACTCTCAATGAAGGATACAAATGCTCATTCGAGTAACGACTTGGAGATGAACCTAACAACTCAAGCAGCTTCTACAACTATTAAACAATCGAAGCTTTCATCATCTGAATTGTCTGGTAAGTGCACATGTTCTTATAAAACTTCATCGACTTGTTCTTTTAGATCAGTCTTCTCTATTGGTCACGAATTCCTTATTTGAATACTTCGATAAACGATTTGAAACAATGACACAGAACATAGAACACATTGCAAGCGATGTTAATACGATGAGAAAACAAATCGATCAATTAATTCCAGATGTTATCCATCTCAAACAACATATGGCTGACATTAAAAAAACTACTTGAGTCACACATTAGTTAACATTTTTTTCCTGTTTGATCATTATGTTCCTTAATTGTACCTTTATAGCAATAGATAAAAATCTTAAGAGTGGATGTGGATGTGGGTGTAGATAAATAATAAATCTCCGCACTCACAACCACATCCTCAAGATGCTTTTGACAAAAACAAGTAGTACACTTCGTTTGTGACATTGAGTTGAGAGTGTGAGGGTCTATTATTCATTTACACCCACACCCATCATCGATTCTATTTTATCGTTAGTCTGACATTTGGCTAATCATTTTTAGTTTATACATAATATTTTTAGGGATGAAAACTACATTGACATACAATTTTATTAAATAGCAAGCTGAGAAATTGGTATAAGAACGTTTTCAGAAACAACACTTTAAAAACTTGTGAGATTTCGTGTTCATTTTTCGATAGTTTAGAAATAGTATCATCATAAGTTCATCAAATGTGTCTGTCATTATTCAATAGTCTACGAAAAGACGGAAAATATTGTTTAATCGACATTTCTTGATTAATTGTCAGATTGAAGCGAATACTACACAAATAGATTAGAAAAGTTCGGAAATAATAAACAAACATTGATTATTGGTGAATTAATCGTCGCCATCGTCTGAATGGTTCTTGAAATTTTTGTCTGTACAATTCCGAAGGAAGAACAAAAACAATAAAAATAAGCATTGATGGAGTAAATGAAATAAAATATCCAAAAAGAAATAACAATCGATAATTCGATGGATTAACACATTCTGATAACATTGACATTATCAGGCGGGGTAAGGACAGAATTAGAAGAATAATTGGACTAATTAATAATTGTTTGTGTTCACTAAATTGATTATAAACATGTTCTCTCAGAGTTTGTCTTGTCTGAGCTGTTGATCGCTGTCGAGCTGATCCGAATATAATGAATAAAGCAGAACAAAGATTGACAATACAAGGAGCAACAAGATGAAAAAATAGAATGATTGTATTGTATTGTTGAACAGAAGAAGTATAGCGAGTTAAACACCATCTACCAATATCCATTTTGTTCGTCTCTGTATTTACCTCTCGCAATTCTCGATATACAGGTTCGTGAATGATTGAACCCATGATACAGAATGGTAAAATGAGAATTATCCATCGAGCTATGCGTTGACTTTTTTGTTTATTGAAGTTAACTCCTCGGAAAACGAGAATCGCTCTTTCAATGGCTACGCAAGCATTGAGCCAAGCATCCAAATAAAAACAAAGCTTAAGAAGTGGTTCGATCGATACACAGCCTCCTCGAACAACAGAAACTGGAATCGATAGATTCATCTGAGTGAGAACAACAAACCAAAACTTCACTGTAAACATGCTAATTGTAAGAAAAGAAGTAATTGATGATGTTAAGAGATAAATGCCACATCCGACTTGTCGTAGATCTTTATTTTGAAATGTTATTATAGACAAAATACTATTGATCAAACCTCCAACAAACATAATCATCGTTGAAGCGGCATTGATTTTCAGCAGTATTGTTTGATCGCCCATTGTCATGTTTGATCGAATTTCGTCACGTAAAATATCATCGAGAGTGACACCAATACTTTTTTTGTAGAACTGACATTTTTGGCCAATGAAACAACTAGTCAGACTTTGAGCTGAAGAAAGAAATACATGGTCATCAAGAGATGAGATCAATCTTTCTCAACTTAACACAACCATGTTGGAGTAAATTTGTAAGCAAAAATAGTTTATGAAAGTCATTTATCTATACATGGTATATGTTGTCGAGATTAGATTTCTATATTTCTGTTAAATGTCTCATGATGAATGGAGTCATTTTTGTAAAGATGTTTCTGTATATGAACTCGATAGATTTTCAGAGACTACAAGGTAATCAAATCTTAGATAGTGTAAAATAACTAGAGAATAGATCTTCTTGAATATATTTTTGATGCGAGAAGAAAAGTTGTATTAATTTACCCAACTAATTGAACTCATACAATCCATCTGATCACGACTAAGCTACAATACTGAGACGTAATCTTATCTGATTGGAAGAAAATTGCCCATTTGTAAAAGAAAAAGTTTCGATCTAATCCTATTTTTTGACAATAATTCTATTTAATTATACGATCTATCTGAAATATTTAAATCTTTTGTCAATGAAGAGTGAAAATAGAGTTTAGTGGGATGTTCTAATTCTCTGTTGATGATTTACAAAATAATACAAAATACTTACTGTAAGGATCAAAAGTGATGTTTTTTGGGCCAGATGTCTCAATGAAAAATTTTCCTGTCGTATTTGGAGAAGATGTTGTCACCACTAATATGTATTTTGTGCCAGTGTGAAGATAAACGATGAACTTGAAATCGTCATGACTACATACTCGATAATCCTGTGAGAGTAAATTTTCGAAAGGATTCATTGGATTAAAATCATCTTCGTAAATATCACCAAATGTATCTATACTGCTATAACTAATCACAGCATAGTATCCAGTTTCCACTACATTCACTCGTATAGTTTCATAGTAATAATTTGATTGTCGACAATCTCGAGAATATGTTTGACTATTTGTAGTCAACTGTAATTTATATTCTGATTGTACAGTTGATGAATATGATATTTCGATGACTGATGGAGAACCTATGCGATGCAAAAGAAAAATAACAATCGAAATTCGTGGTAGATCTTGATTGACTAAGAGAAAGACGAATTGTCTGGATATAAGAAAGAAAATTGAGCATCATAAGTCATCTCTGATACGTGCTGAATACCGAAGGACATGTCAAAACTGAGCCTAGATTTCTGAAGAAACGACTCTTCATAATATGTCTCTCAATGAAATAGTTAAGTCGTAAATGGAGAGTGAGAATAGAATTTATAAATATTTTTCTGTACTCGAATTCCCGATAATGTATATCATAAATGAGTTTGGAATAACTTCTTTGTTTCCAAAATAGATAATGTCCCAACGTTTTAGACAAGAAAAATGATTTATTTATAGTCTGATTCTCCTACTATTTGTAATTTATTCAAAAATTAAAATACGTAAAGATATCTCTTAGATTCATAAAGAGCAAGAATATGTTTATACTTTCTATTTACGATACATTATATTTAAATGTTGGAACCATTTTTTATTATAGAAACATTGAGTGATAGGAAATGTTGTAAAAAAAAGCAAATTGTTTTTTCAGTACATCGTTACTAGCAGGGATTCATGCTGATTTGTATATTATTTATATCAGATTAGTGATCGATTGAAGCGGATCTGTATTCAAGGAGATTGGTCTGATCCTATTCACAATATTCTGTTATATGATGAGGTTAATGTAGCTGTTTGTGTAAAGCTTTCTTTCTATACAAATGTCATCTTACAACACAAGTTTTTATTTGTGGATATTCTAAACTCAACTAAATCCTCGTGCTAACGTTGACAGATATTCATTCAATAGTTGTAGTGCAAACACTTACTAATATTCTTGAGATCAACATGATTTGGACCGGATACAAAGATCGAGAAAGCACCTGTTATATTAGGAGCCCACGTTGTCACAATCAATATATATGTGATACTGGTTTCAAGAGCAATTATGAAGGTAAACTGAGGTGAATCGCAATTGTTAGGCTTGACTGAGAGTTGATTTTTGGTTGGATAGGATGGATTGAAACGTTCTTCATAAATATAGCCCTCTGTGATCATACTGCTTTTACTGAAGAAAGTGTAAACACCATCTGTATGAACATTCACTTGTATTGCTTCATAGTAAGAACTTGAGTCCGAACAACTACGAAAATATGTTGAACTGTTCGCTGTCAATTTTGATGCATAAACTGTTTGAACAGCTGATGAATTATTCACTAACGAAAAAGAAAATTGATTCAATTTTGTATTACATAGAAATAAGTGTAAACAATTTGAAATATTACTTTCTCTCTCAAATAAATTTACCGAACGAAAATGAATATGATATAAATGAGAATCACTATACTCTCACTTTCAAGATGGTAGAAAACATTTTGTGATACCGGGTGTGGGTTTAGGTTAAATTTAATATTGACACCTACACCCATTCACAACCACTAACATCCAAATTAACATCCACACCCATCACATTAGGAATCAACTGTAAGAAAACCGAATTTAAAAAGAATTATTTGGATATCATTCATAGTATTCTGTTATATGGTGAAGTTAATGTAGCTGTTTGTGTAAAGCTTTCTTCGTAGAATACAAATGTCATCTTACAAAACAAGTTTTTATTTTTGGATATGCCAGAATAGAGATACAACGGTGACGGTAACCGTTCTAACCGGTAAAAGTTCCATCTTGAGTGCGTGGGTGTGAGTAGGTGTGGGAGTAGGAGTCGATGTGGAGTGGACGTTAGTGATAGATGAAATAAATACTCACACCTACACCTTCAAGATGAAACGGTCACCGATTTTGAACGGTTGCCGATTAGAACGGTTACCGGTGGAATGGTTACCGATTCATACGGTGAACCGATGACTAACCGTCACCGTTACATCCCTATGTCAGACTCAACTAAATACTCATGCTGACGTTGGCAAATATTCATTTAATAGTTGTAGTGCAAACACTTACTAATATTCTTGAGATCAACATGATTTGGACCGGATACAAAGATCGAGAATGCACCTGTTATATTAGCAAACCACGTTGTCACAAGCAATATATATGTGATATTAGTTTCAAGAGCAATTCTAAATCTAAACTGATTTGGATTGCATCTGTCATCACCGTATGGCAGTTGATTTTCATATGGATTGGATGGATTGAAACAATCTTTGTAAATAGCGCCGTGTGTATTCATATTGCTTTTACTGAACAAAGTGTAAACACCACCTGTATGAACATTCACTTGTATCGCTTCATAGTAATTACTTGACTCCCAACAATCAAGAAAATACGTTGAACTATTCGTTGTCAGTTTTGATGCATAAACTGTTTGAACAGCTGATGAATTATTCACTAACGAAAAAGAAAATTGATTCAATTTTGTATTACATAGAAATAAGTGTAAACAATTTGAAATATTACTTTCTCTCTTAGATACATTTATTAAAGGTGACTGGAAATTATATGGATCTTAGTTTCTATCGAACAGAAATATCTGTATATTATTTTATAGATTGCGTTTATCTATATTTTTTATCGATAATGAATATGTACAGCTGATTATCTATTAAAATACTATGTATACTCACAAATACGATTGAAAGTGATATCGCTTCGACCAGATCCCTGAATTGAAAAGTTTCTTAAAAAAATCTGAGAAGACGTTGTTATAACGAAAATGTATTTCATGTTGGCTTGAAGAAAAGCTCTGCGTTGAAACTGGCCCTCATTATCATTGCCGTCATAATAAGTGAGCTTATTTTCTAACCAGTTAAATACATTAAAACTGTTTGTGTAGATATAAGCGTACATGGTTTTCATCTCGCTGTTGATTAAAAAAGTATAATAGCCAGTTATAATGACGTTCATTTGTATCGATTCATAATACAAACCTAACCCTGAACAATCTTGAAAATGAATTGAATTATTTGGTGTCAACGATGATAAATACATTGATTTTATTAATAATGAATTGTCTATCAAATGAAAAAAAAATCAATGCGTATTTATATTTTCAATAAAGAAAAGAAATGATGGCATATATCCTTAGTTTGCTTTTCACTCTGTTTACTAATAAGAGTTGAATCATTTGTTTCAGAGCAATGCTTTTAACAGACAAATGAAGAAAAACATGAAATAAAATATCAATCTAGTATCCTTACAGTAAGTATCGATGTTAGCCCTTAAAATCCACATGTTCTTTCCAGGAGATGTTGTAATAATTACAATAAAGAAATATTATAAAACCTCGTTTACAAAAACAAGTATTATGCTGGACTAAGAAAGTCTGTGGTAAGTCATGAATTTACAAATTTATGATTTCTTCATTATCACCTTTATCTTCAAACTTTTTTTTTTATAAAAATAATAATGCAGAACATTAGGTTTTTTATCGATATCACTAAGAATAACAATAAACTATCTAATGAAACTATTTTATAAAGTTCTAATCAATCTATGAGTAAGACATAACGTCATCAAAAAAATGTCTATTGGAAACGACACTCAACCTTAACAAATCAAAATATTCTCATATTGGATCCATTGTTAAAATATTACAAGAAAGACTCTTTAATTATTTTTTATTTTAATAAAGCGTGTCTCGAATAATCAGGTAAGGATGGAACTTTTTCCTTCTTCTGATTGTTGACATTTTTCTGTGAAGACACTGAGCTGCGTTTAAATCCCACTCCTTTGTGATAATTCTGATTCTATTCTCGTTCGTCAATCAAAATCATGACCGCAAATATAACATAATCGTTTTCTCATCTCCAGAGTAAAGGTGACATTCTGAATCTCTATGATTGCGACACGCGTTGTGCTTAACACTCGAGCATAGGGTCATTTCTCTCTCACAGATGTTTTATTTCTACGAATTTAAAGCACATTGAACAACTATGCAAAACAACCTTGTGTTGATTTCAAAGCAAGTCGTGAAACGTTTTTTGTCCTGAAATATAAAAATTCGACGAGAGAAATTTTACTTTGAAATATTTTTAGCTCGGTAAAGATTTGATAAATTTTGATGAAAATTTTACTTCTCATAAGTGTCTTACACTCCATAAATTCATTGTGTTCATTATTTTCTACACTTAGCAGCAATAAGTGAGCGCAAATAATGGTAAATCAAAGAAAAGTTATAAAGAAAGTTCAACAAAAAGGCTCAATCGATCTGACTTTCTTAATAAATACATAGACATTCTAATTTTCATTTGTATTATGCAACAAACATGACGATAATGTTATCGATCGACTCTTGTAGAGAATTATAAATAAGCAAGGTTTTTATTTTATAACAATAGCATATTAAGATGAAACTTGAAATTTAAATTTAATTATTCGATAACTCGGTTCGAAATCCCCGAGAAGCTCCATTTTCAATCTCATCTTCTATGGTAGTTTTTCTTTTTAATTCTCTGAATAAATATTGATTAAAATGATATTAGAGACTTTATTCGATCATTCTAAACTTACCACATGAATCTTCGATATATTGAAATTTTTGAATTTGATGATTTGATTGATCAATAAAAAATATGTTTTTAGAACGATCAAAACTAAAACTAGATGGATTATTCAAGTGATTGACTTGTGAATCCACTCCATAACATCCCACTAAACATCGAAAACCATTCAAGTCTGATCTAACAATACGATTATTATTCTGATCCACAATGAATAAGTACTTTTCAGCATCTAATATGATTCCACTTGGACAATCAAGTGGTGGATTTAGTGATAAATATCGATCAGCTACTGCGATTCCATTTGATTCTCCTGACTGGAGCAACTGAACGCGATCGTTTCCACAATCTGTTACATATAAATCCAGATTCACATCAACAAAAATTCCAATAGGACTATAAAGTTGATTTGAGGCTGATCCGTTAATACCTGTTCCAGCAGCAACACGATTTGAAGCCATCACAGAATCATTTAATGATCTTTTCACTACTTGATGATGATCACGCATTGAACAATAAAGCGTATCATTGATATCGACAAACAAACCAAAACATGATGAGCTGACATTCATCACCGTGACAAAGATATTTGTTTCTGGACTCCATCTCTGTACTCGACCATTCTTCTCACCATCATCAATATAAATATCACCATTTGATGTGACGAAGAGAGAATTGGGTTCTGTAAAATCACCGTGAATAATCTTCGTTGGATTGACACTCTCTTCTTGCCACATTACAATTGTGCTATTTTGTTGATTAGCGATATAGATTGTATTGTTCATGTTCACAAAAATGGCGGTCGGATATTGACCAACAATCGATCGATTAGCAATGGTAATTCCATTAGAATTCCAAGTAGCTGTTGAACAAAACTTCGGCTGATTAAATGAAAGAACTAAAAACGAGAAAAATAGAAAGAATATTAGAGAAGAACTGTAAAAGAAATGAAATTGTTAATTTATATATTGGCAGAAGAAAAATGAAGTTTTTTCAAAGAAATTTTTCATGAAAAAGACATATAGAAATGCTTGTTATCAGTGATTATAGGTATGTTTTTTATTAATTTTTATATGAAATGTAAACTGTGATATTGTTAAAATGTGTTTGTTTAACCTTTGTTGAAAAATTTCCTGGCAGATCTGAATAAATTGTATAAAAAAATAGTTGAATGAAACAAATTATTTATCTAAGAGAAGATAATCAGGAGAAAAGAAATTTTTATCTATCAAATTTCTTTCTCTGCACTTCTGAACGTTTCATGTGCCTTTCTCAAATGAATTTTAATTATCAAGCTGATTGTTTTAAAAATAATTCTACAGATATGTCATTGCAGATTTTTCTTTGAAAAATTTATAGGAAATTAAATTTCTATTGCCAAACATGTATTCAGTTTCTGAAACTTTTTTCTCATAAACATCTGAAGTTAATTTAGAGAAGAAATCAAATGGAGACGATAAAGGTCCCTATGTTATCTCAGTCGTCTATATTATTGGAAACATAACTCGATTTATCTTAGTAAATTTCATTGAGAAACACGAAACAATGTTGTTACATGGTATATCAATACTGAACGAAAAAGAAAAGAAAAATGAGAGAGAAAAAATACGATTTTTCATGATTCCCAAAAACCCTTATTGTCTCCCTTCAAACACTCTTTGTACAACTTGTCACACGAACATTCTTTATCTCAAGAAATTTTAAAGGTTTATCAAAGATCACAATATTTCGTCTTTTTTCAATATAAATAAAACAAATCTTTTTTTATAATCTTAAATAGTATTGTACAAATTCCAATGTTTTTTCGGTGAAATAAAAAACAAAACAAGAAAATCTTTATTTTCATTTGAAAACAAACAAATAATTCTCTGAAAACAAAAGCAATCATTAACCACACATCTTCAAGAAAAAAGTAAAATAAATATTTGTGAAACTAAAAAATTTTCTTATCAACCTGGAAACCTTTTTCTCATTAAAGTTTAGAAATGTAAACAAAACTTTATTGATTGACTTATGTAAAATTTTTATTTAAGAACAATTTGTCTTCTTGATTATCTTAAATAAATGAATTTGATTAGACAAATAAATATTTTTATTTAAAATCACATCAAGAGATTTTATTTATTTTATCAAATAAACAACTTTTTTCCTTTAGAGAAAATATTCTTTGTTTACAATTATAGAAATAATAACATATAATATCTCTCATTAATAACTACAGATATCACATTATAGATTGTCTTCAACTATTCAATATTATTCTCTGCAATTAGATATTATAATAACTATCCAAAGAACAAATCATCAATGAAGCATTTCATTATGAAAAAATTCGCTTTTGATAATATTTTATTTCTCCTATGTTTCTTGGATCAAACATATCCAAATATGAAATATGGAGTCAGATTATAGAATAATTTATATTAAAACTATATCGACAAAGATGTGAAGAGATTTTATTTCGATAAAAAATGTTTTATTCATGAAATATTTTCTAAGACATGAAATGAAATATAAAAGCCATTTCTACCACTCAATTAAGGACAGAACTTTTTCTTTCTCTATTCTTTATAGCCTGAATAAAATGGCGAAGCTTTTTTGCCTTAGACGATTGACACATGACTCTGTCTAATCTGAACATTGCATTTCCTTAGACACATTCTTTTACACATTGGTTTAATTAATCTTTCTCAACCATTTTCGTTTTCTTTCGTCTTTTATATTGAAATGTCTTTATTAACTTCTGTTCCTTATCTATTCAGATCTCTTCATTGCATTCAACTTTTCTTCAACTTACCAAAAGAATCTTTCATAAGTAAAAATACTTGAATTCGAGAATTTCTTTGATCAGTAACAAACATGTTTCCAGAATGATCGAAACTCAATCCATATGGACGATTTAATTGATTAGATTGGGAACCGACTCCATAACATCCAACTAAGCATCGAAAACCATTCAAGCCTGAACCAACAATGCGATTATTGCTTATATCCACAATGAATAAATATTTCTCGGCATCTAAGACTATTGCCCTTGGACAGCTAAGTTTAATTGTTGGATTTAGTGATGTACTTCCAGCTACTGTGATACCATTTGATTCTCCCGGCTTGAACAACTGAACACGATTATTTAGACAATCTGCCACATATAGATCCAAATTAACATCAACAAAGATCCCGCCAGGATTTGCAAGTTGATTCAAGGCTGATCCTTCAATACCTGTTCCAGCAGCAATACGATCTAAAGTCATCACAGAATTATTCAATGATCTTTTCACAACTTGATGATGGTCAGTCATTGAACAATAAAAAGTATCATTGATATCGACAAACAAACCATCACATCGTGAACTGACATTCATCACCGTGACAAAGATATTTGTTTCTGGACTCCATCTCTGTACTCGACCATTCTTATAACCATCATCAATATAGATATCACCATTTGATGTCACGAAGAGAGAAAAGGGTTGTGTAAAATTACCATGAATGATCTTTTTTGGATTGACATTCTCTTCGCACCATATTAGTACTGTATTATTTTCTCTATTAGCGACATAGATTGTGTTATTTGTGTTCACAAAAATGGCGCGAGGATATGTACCAACAATCGATTGATTAGCAAAAGTAAGTCCATTAGAATTCCAAATGGGTGTTGGAGGAAATTTTGGTTGATTGAATGAAAGAGCTAAAACGAGAAAAATAGAAAGAATATTAGAGAAGCACTGAAGAAAATCAAATTGTTAATTTATGTTTTTTCTAGGAAAATTCATTCAGATTAATTTTGAAAAGATTTTTATGATTGTTTTTGTATTTTCGTGGATGATTTGTAATTATCACCTAAGAGAGGGTTGAATTTATCGAAGAAGATCAAATTTATTTATTGATTTTTTGTTATAAAAGAAAAACAATTATGGTAGATTCTTGCAAAGATATGATTATCATTGAAGACAAATAAAATAACCAAATAGCTATTTTTATTAGTTCACAGAAAAGGGTGTGGGTGAGTGTAGGTAAGAGTGTGGGTGGGTGAGGCTGTAGGTGAAAGTATGAGTAAGAGTGAAAAGGATAGTAATCGCACTCACCACACCCACACTCAACTACACCTACCCACACCCGCATCCATTCTCACACCCGAACCCTGACTGAGCTCAAGTCCTAACTGAGCGTGAGTCGCAACTGAGTTCTAGCCCTGACAGAGCCCGATAGTCTTGGCGAGGACTCGGGTTCGGTACATCCCTAGATAGTATAGATTTTGAAAATAATTTAAGATACAAAATCAAAAGCTTCATCATGGTTTTTACTGCGAAATAATATACCATGTCTAAAAACAGCCACTCAATCTATTTGTTTTTTTTTATGAACGATTCAAAGATTTTTCCAATATGACACATATCACACATATTTCATCACTGATAGTTATGACAACATTTTATAATTTCAATGCAGTTTAACAACAAAATGAATCTCTGTAGAGAGATGCATTCTCTGAATGAGTTAGATTGAAGTATAGAAGAGATGATAGCTATCACTTTTCAATATATAACAGAGAGTCCTGTCAAATTCTATAATCTATTATTTGAATCTCTTTTATTCAAGTGAAACTCTAATGAATAATATCATTTTTGTGCCATAGCTGACCTTCAGTATGTGATAAACAAAAGTATTTACCTGATATTTCATTGTTGAGAATGAACAAAAGAATAATGATAAATACATACATATTCAACATTATTCAACAAGAGCTTTTTTGATAAATTAGTTAACTAATAAAATAATCTTCTTCTTCTTCTCCTACTTTGTCTTCGATGAAAACAAAATGACACTCGTTGTAGATTTTCTCTCTGGTTATATCTCTCTCGTTCTCTCTTTTTCTCTTATTCATTTCTTCCAACATAACACAAAGAAAAAAAATAGTGTTCTAGAGAAGATTTCATCGTAGGTAAGATAAAAAATTGATTTTAGATTGAATTAATGAACAAAATTGATCATTTAATTTCATTCTTTTCGAAATTCAATAGCACGAAATGGAGACTCAATTCAGCATAATCCTTTTTTTTTGATTTTATAGAAAATCTTTGATTTCAGCGAAGAAGAACGTGATAAAGAGAAAAAAGAGAATTGATGAAAATCTGCATTAATTATCGGACGTGTTTTAACTGAAAATACGATATCAACTATCATCGTCAATAAATGATAGACATCAATGAATAAGTCATGATTAGTTTGATATCTTTTTTATTTGATTTTGTTAAATAATCTGCTTTGTCAGGACTCACTTTTAATCACGTTCTTTATTTCTCCATGCGCAATAAGTATTCTTGTATCAGATATATAAAATCTCGATACGATGTATTTTTGTAAGTAATATGAAAAAGATGCATACACTCAATTCTAAATTCAGTACATGCAAAAGCAAAACTTTGAAAATGGATGAATGGATCTTATCAGTTAGTTGGAAAAGTTTTATTCAAATATAATCTAAGTCGTGAAACTCAGATCAGTTATTTAATATTCTTTGCAGTCCATTCGGCAGCGACCAGTTGTCGATCACGATGAACATGTCTGATTGAAATTGATGACCGAAAATGTGGATGAAAGCTATAACTATACTTTCCACATCTTTGCTCATGCATGTATACTCACACTCTTCATTATTTAGAAAATATTGTTAACTAATTTGAAAAATATTTATCTTATAAAATAATTGAAAATGAGCAAAGGGTGTGGGCGCTAGATGAATAAAGTATCCATACCCACATTCATTCCGCTTTTAGTGATACAAGTTTGATCAAAGTATTTCTATGAATATGTTGTCTCTGTAATATCAATCACAGCTCACGTAACGCGATATTTGCATTGTTAACATCTCTTTACAAAATACATGATATACGTATTGGCGATGATTACAGTTTCATTAGATTGTTATCTTGGTAATGCAGACGTATATTGACTAAGATTATTTTTATTTCAACGATATTTATTCTGCATATCTCAAGTGAATTTCTTTTCTATGTATGTATGTGCCTCCCATAAAAACCATCTACACTCTCATAAAATCAGCCAACAAAAGCTGTATCGTCAGTTAGAGGTTTTCGCGGAGAAAATCAACGGTATGTTTATTATTTTTTTGGTTCTTCTGTAAAGCTTCGGTGAGATATTGCGTCAGTTAGAATAGAGATTGATTACAAATCTTATAAATTTGAATAACAAATAAATTACGCTTATGTAAGAGCGACGATTCGTAATGAATTTAACTATTTTAGCAAACGTTATACAAATTACTGTGTCAAAACTCTGACAACAAAGATAATTTTGAAAAGTCTGTATTGCATCTGTCAACATTTACATTAACTGAAGAAAATAACTAGACAAAAAAGTTGAGTTTGAATATTATGGACAGCTGTTTCTCGCGTCGTAGAATTAGAGAGAAGGAGAACTTATGAATTTCACTTATTCAAGGTTTATCTTTCTCCTCTATTTTATTTATTACTCAATATATCGTAATATGTGTATGTACTGATACACTTCTCGTTACATTTTTTCTTTCGACATTAACACTAAAATATTAGAAAACTTAACTTGAAAATTCTAAAATCTAGTCGTAGGCGAATTTTTAATTAGCTGTTTGACGGTGAACGTATTTTTATAGACCTGATTTAAAAGACGCCGGTGCTCAAAAGATATGAAATTCCTTGAAGCAACCAGCTATGCAGAGACTCACATGACAATCTTTACATATACAATATGAATATGTTCTCGTTTAACTACCTTAAGAAAAATACCTCTACTCTAACGAAGCTTCTACTGGTTAATAGACAAAGCAACTTTTTGTATGATTTTACCGGTTGTACATCTTCTCTTACCTCTCAAAATAAATTCATATTCTTCTGTAATTCCTGAAATAGTTTTAATTGATTATTAAAGCAGTAATAGAATTTGTCTATGATATCTCAATATTTTAGAGTCATACTAAGGTGATTGCCTGGTGAACCATTGGAAGATAAATAAACACGTGTGCAGACATCATCCTGTTAAAAAAACAACAACACTATTATGAAAGTTGTACCCGCTCCTTCCACTCAGCTAACCAGCTTATGGATTAACTCTGCAGAAGCAAGAACAAATGATGAAACACATCTCAATTCAAATACCACCATCGCTACTGCTAATGCGATCAATATGTCTAACAAACAACTAAATGCAAACTGTGTCATTACTACATCTTTACCTTCATCTAATCTTACTGATATTGTGCCAAGGTTGATCAAAGTATACAAAAACCCGATGAAGCTGGCAGCTTTTATTACCTTCCTCATCACTATTGTTTGCATCGCAGCGACCAGTATTTGTTTTATTTTTGTAAAGCGAAAGAGCATGAACAATGAAGATACTATAGTACCGCTGGTGCTAGGTATAATTAGTAGCATAGCAAGCATTTCATTGTTGATTAGTTTCTGTATTTTCGGCTGTGTATTATATGGTGACAGAAACTGGATGAAGGACGTACAACAAATAATTCAAATCGATGGTGAAATATGGCAAAACCAAATAAATTCGATTGGAAATACCGTTCCTCCTAATGCAATGCACCTTGATTGTGTAGGTAATATACACGACCGTCTTAGAATGCGTCCTCATGGTTACATCGTTCTAGCAGAAGATGGTATTATGATCGACGAACTCTTCGCCATATCCTACGACGTTTATGTTATACATCGCGTTGACTTGATGTATAATACAAGTCATATAGGACATATTCTTCGATTAACTCTTGCTACGCGTCTTAGTTTGGAGAAAGAACTTGATAAGGGTACACAAATATTATTTGAAGTATATTTATTCATGCCACTACATATGCAAACTCAAGAGTTGGCTAATATTCGCCAGAATATACTTGCAAACTCGCATAAACATCTCACCGCCTCTGGATTTTATGAAAACTCTGTAATTAATCAGAAATGAAATCTATTAACAATCTTGTATGTGAAAACTAATATAGAATTCTAAACAATTATTACATAATCAGTGACTATTTTAAATACTATTTATGTTTAATCATTTATATTCATTCTAAAAGACATAGATACTTGAGGATGGGTGTGGGTGTGTTTCAGTGCGGATAAGGAGGTGGTGTGTGGATCAGGTTTTAGCTGTAAATATAATATTCCTTAATCAATCACAACCACAAGATGGTTTTCTTTTTCAATTTAATTCGATTGACAACTTTGATTTTAAACGAATGTAATTTATTTTAGAAAAAAAGAAGAACATTTTTCAATTAAAACATTTTTCATATTTTAATATTCGATGATTATGATGATCAGCAACATAAAGATTCTCTTCATCATCAAATGATAAAGCACTGATACCATTCAAATGATTTAATTCTTCTCCCCATCCATTTCCACCGACAACAATTTCACCTTCTGTATTTCCTTCACACCAACACATTACTCGATCAATTCCTCCATCTGTTGCATAGATTTGACCCAAATGATCCACAATTACTCCTTGTGGAAAAGACACTTGTTTGAGACTAGTTCCCCAATTATTTCCACCAGCAACAACAATTCCTTCTTCAGCATTTTTTCTCCATTTCATCACACGATGATTTCCCCAATCTGATATATAAAGAGAATCATCTTGATCAACAAAAATAAAAGTAGGTCCATTCAGTTGATTGAGATCATTTCCTTTTCCATGTCCTCCAGCAACAATTGTTCCTCTTTCATCTCCTTCTTTCCATCGTCTCACTTCATTATTCTTCAAATCAGAAACATAAATAAATCCATTTTTATCCATTGATAGACCGAAAGAATCGATATCAGAAATGAGAATTTGTTGTTTTATTTCATTTTGATAAGAGCATCGGATTACTCGTCTGTTGTCTCGATCAGAAATGATCAAAGAATTATTTTGTTTATCAATAAGAACATCTGATGGACGAGATAATTGATCAGTTCTGTTTCCTTGACCATTTCCTCCAGCGACGACTCTTCCTTTGTTCGAATGACATTTCCATTCAATAATACGATGATTCATAGAATCAGCAATGAAAACATTGTTGTAAGGATCAATAAAGATTCCTTCAGGACAATTGAGTTGATTTAATTCATTTCCTTGTCCATTTCCTCCCGCCATAATAATTCCATTTTGTTCCCATTTGTTATATTTTATTTTGTTTTGTTCTAAAAATGTGAAAAAAAAGTTTTTTTGAGAAGGGATGGATAAGTGTGGGTATGGTATGATTAGATTGCCTACACTAGCACTAGCAATCAGACTAAGAATGTCCTTGTACTATTATTTACCTGCTGAACCTGATGCCATGTTGTTTAATGCTACGTAGATGAATCAATGAAGAATAGTTATACTCTAAAATAGAAAAAACATCTTACGGTTGTGAGTGTGTGTTTTCTCTTCACTCACACTCACAGTCACCTACACACCAGCTTTCCTAGTGGATTTATGTAGTGTAAAGCAAAGTAATGAATGAATGCGTATGGGTGAGAGTAAAGTGAGAAGACATACCTGCACCCTTGAAAAGACAAGAGGATGAGACAAATCATACGTAGTGCCTTTGATTGATCGCAAAGCAATTATTATTGTGTTGATAATGATTTCTCTCTGCGAAGTGTACAATATATCTGGCTCACGAATGATAGGGAAAATTGAAGAAAGCGTTTATTATATCGATGTAGAAATAGTGGCAAGCAAAATCAATACTCAAAATTTGATAAGAACTACGTGTTTTCTTTTCAACTGATATAATAATATTATTACCTTTGAAGACGTTTCTTTTCTGTTTGAAAGAGATTAGAGAAACCTTCATATATACGCCCGAGATAATGTTACACCATAGAAAGAAACTAAAAAAATATGCATTCTTTCTTTCTTTTGGTTTTGTAATAACATCGTGTTATTCTTTCGTCATGAAACTTGCAAAAGTATCATCAAGCTTGAGGATGTTGGTAGAATATAATATACACACCTATAAATATGAATGAGATTTTTCTTTTTTATTCCAATGTTCATTGAATACTATGTTTTTTAATTTTGTAGGATCTTTTCCTAATAGCATGTCAAGAGTATTTTTTCTGGCTAGATCATAGGAAAAGCGTCCTATATGTTTATCTATGCATTTTAGTAGATACTTATTTAATAATAATTTAACACGAATCCTATTAAGTTCATATCGAAGTTCTCGGAGATAAGAGCATATTCGAACAGCTCATAAGTCTGCTGAATATGGTATGTTCTTGGTAATATGTGTAGAGTGGGATGAATAAAATGGAAGTACATATGGTTGTGTTGCTAGTTTTCAGAATAGACTTGTTGTGAAATTTAGAATTTCTATCATAGATTTTGCATACAAATAATCTATATTGTATTCTCTTCTTCCCATATGATAGTTGTATTCAAATCTTTTTTATTTAATTCTCTTAATATGATTTTTATCTGTTCTGGCGGTGATCTTGAGGGTGTAAGTGTGGAATATAGAGTGAACACCCACACCCTCGTTGGGTTGAGACGTAACTGAAATATTAAAATTTCTGTTTTGGTCAAGTGACTTCTGTAATATCTTGCATATTGTTTTTTCCTATTGATGAATAAGTAAAACGTTTTGTTAGGACTACTGATGATATTTCACAGAGGATCTCTCTAGGCTTATCCTCATGAATATAAACCTTGAACATGCCTCTATCATGGATAAAAAAAGCTACTCGTTTGCTCAAGCCATAATGAAGATATTGAATTTTTTTCTCAGTTAAGTGACTTTAGGCCCACCCAATATTCCTTGGTATTTAGGAAGACTACAAATGTGAATGAAGTAAAGAGTAGTTACAAGGTGGACTATAAATGGCACCCGACTAAGAAATTTGAGTATCTGTATTACGGCTCGTGTAGAAGAGCAGATTTTTTACTAACGTTAGAGACGTGGTTAAAAAGATCTTTTGTTGAATATTAATATTTATTTTAACAAAAAATACTTACTCTTTCATGTGTAAAGAAAGGAATAATATATTTACTAAAAGCTTCTCTAAGTATGTTTTTGCGAATATAAACTTTGAAAATATCTCTATTATTCATAAAAAAAAACTCATATTATCTCTTAAAGTTGTAGTAAAAATATTTAATATTTTGACAAAGCATGACTTTTGTGCCACCTTGTATGTTACTTTTTTTCTTATACATGAAAAAGTAAGTTTTTTTTGTTAAGATAAATATTGAACTTTTTTCTTGGTAAAGTGAATTTTGGTTCATCTTAAAGACAAATTGTTATTATCAGATCACAATCTAGACAAGTTTTTAAATTTTAAATTTACGCATTTCTTACTCAAACAACTGTTAAAATATTTTTCTTGTAACTCATATTTTAATTATGAGTTATTAGTACAAATACAATTCAAAGAAAATAATTATTTAATAAGAATCGCATTAAAAAGAATAGACTAAACTTTTTATCAATAAAGATTGTTGAAAAAATGATGAGAACGAGAGGAAGTAGCTTTTTTTAATATTAGATGTACATGCAACAATAAATTCTTAGTACTTAAGATGAAACTGAATATGATGCATTTATCATATCAAATTCAAGTTTGAGAAAGATTCTTCAATATAATCATTTATCTAAATAATACCAAAGTGAAAATACTGAAAAAAACATTTATAATTGTCTTTATTTCTCTTACAATCATCTTTTCTTTTTATAAATTCTATTCATTTATTATGAAAGGATATGATGTTTTCAAGACTCATCAATTATTGACGTCAATTGACAACAAAAAAAACTAATGATGTGTAAGGTATTATCTTCTATGAAAAGAATAAAATATATAATGTCCATTGTAATTCGTTCCCATATTTTTTTTTAAAGTACTAGTCATTTTAAATGCCGTTTTTTTTCTGTTTCTGTTTGATTAGCTTTTCAATCTATGTATACAACATTTAATAAACAAGTAATCTATAGTGAATATAAGAAAAAAAGAAAGCATTGACGTAGATTATCGATTTGCTTAGGTCATTTATTTATCTTCACTTTGTTTTTCTCTCTCTCTTTCCTTAGCGGAAACCGAATTTAAAAATATTTATTCCGCAATCCCGGTAAGTTAACAAAGATTAATTAGTATGTTTTCCTTTTGACATACGTGATATTTTTAATTGATTTTTTTCAGATATTTCACATAAATTAACGTTAAAAAAAAGATAAAGATTAACATTCTTTGTAAACTGATAAGTATTTATTGCGTGGCAGGAAATTCAGACAAAAATATTTATATAATGACAGCGGTGCAGAATATACTCACTTGCGCGCGCGGCACTTTAAATGTTTTTTTTATTTTTTTGATAATTATTCCACTATTAATAGAAAATCTTTTATCTCAGCGGCAAATTCTGCATGTCTGTGTACTTATCATATTTTCCTAAGAAAATATAGATATAAATATACGCGAAAAAAATTTATATTTTATTCTTCTTTTCACTATGAAGGGTTACTCATTGATACCTGCTAAAGATAAATACATGAATAAAATACATTATTCTAATTTATTGTAATTTATTCCAACCAAAGTAATAACATACAACTATTGCTTTATGAATAAGATAGACATTGATATCGAGAATATTCTTATATTGATTGCTTAATACTTGCAGACTTATTGGAAGCTTCGATTGACAAAGAACATACAATGGATTCCTCATTGAAATTAGGTTCATATGATCCAATAAATACAAATGAATATTCAATGTCAGGACCACGAAAACAACATCAACATGTAACAAAAGCTGAATATTCACCTATTGATTCATCGCGTAAACTTAATTTATTACTTCATCGTTCACTTCGATATTCATATCGACAACGATGTTGTCGATGTTGTCCAACAATACTTTGTGAACTTTTATTTCCATTAATTCTTATTGGATTAGTAGCTTTAACACGTCATAAAGCTGAAGCACTCTTTGAAGCAATATTAGAAACTCGTTTTTCTGTTCCAAGAAATTTCTATCACCATCAATGTCCACAAAATCGAAATATAACGATAACAACAAGTTTATCAACAGATTCAATAAAAAATTGTTTCAAATTTCTACCAAATTATAAACGAATTCGATCTGGATTGTCCTATTCACGACCAGCTGCAGACATAACAAATTTTGTATTTCAACCAATAACAGATGATACTAATGTTCTTGTTGAGCGTGCTAAAACACGTTTGAAAAATATGAATTGTACAAATACAAAAGTTCGGTATGTTAATCTAATTAATTAATTATATTAATAAAAAACTTTTTTTAAAGGAATCAAAATGTAGATGATAAAAATGATAGTTATCTATTACAAAATGAAACGGAAAATACAGTTATTATTGATTTCGGTTCAACATCTAATTTAAAAAATGGGCATAATCTTGATTGTAAGTATTTAAAGAATGAAAATATAATGAATCTGCATATATTTATATATAGATAACATAATGGTTCGAATGCCAAATATTATTCCTAAGACAGATCCAATTGATCTATCATTTCTATCATTTTTACATCCAAGTAAATAATCTAAAGATAGTTTTTCTTATGTAAGATTAAATTTAAATTATGTTTAGCATTTATTCCTGATCGATTTAATGCAATTGATTTTGGAGATTCAAAATTACCTGATTTTGGTAATCTAACAATGTTTAATGATTCAAGATTGCCTGAATATAGTGGAGTAATAACATTTAGTGATTCAAGATCACGTGAATTTAGTGATGTAACAATGTTTAATGATTCAAGATTCTCTGAATCTAGTGATGTAAAAACGTTTATTCATTCAAGATTACCTGAATTTAGTGATGTAAAAATGTTTATTGATTCATTGCTTATTGGTTATCAAACGAACAGAAATATTGAGTTTGAACTTCAAGGAGAATCCATAACATGTACGCCATATCGTGAAGATTTTCTTTTTGGTAAAATAGAATTTATATATATATATCGAAAAAAATAAATAAATAAATATCTTATTTTTAGAATCAGGACCGGCATTGGTAACAATAGTTTTAATCTTTATTGATTTTGTATATTTTATTCCGTATGTAAAATATTTCTAAATCAATAGATGATATGTATATCATATTTTTATTTCTTAGATATTTAATTCTTCTAACCAGTTTAATTCAAGAAAAAAATGCTAAAGTTAAAGAAATTCTCAAAGTAATTGGAATTGAACCTATTTTAAATAATTTTGCTCAAGCAATTCGGTAAAATATTATTTCCTTTCTTTAACCCTTTGGTTACGAGTCACGTGTATATACGTGCTGACTACTATATTTTAATACAAATCTAAAAATGCTTAAATATAACAATAAAGTTTATTTCAGCATTTTTCATAATACAAAAAACCTTTTTATTTAAAAACAAAACACCGTAATCAAAGGGTTAAATATTTTTCGAATTTAATTTACTTTTTTTTTGTTTAGAACATTAATTATTCTTTGTTTTTTAACTATATTATTATGTATTATATTTATATTAGAATTGAAATCTGATACATATTTTAATATAGTTAATTTTGGTGTTCTTTTTCTTGGATATTTAATATATGGTTTACAATTAATATCATTTTGTATAATGAATGCACAATTATTTGATAAAACTTTTCGAGCAGTATTAGGCACTTTTTTCATATATGCTCTATCAATATTTATATATCCATTTATTATTGGATGGCCAACAGCTATACAATATATATTGATATTTGTTAGTCCCTATATTGCTGGACGTTCTATTTTTCAAGTAAAAAATTTTATTTATTAGATTTCGAAATTAAAATTTTGTTTTGTTTCTTTTGATTTTTTCAGCAAGTAATTTTACATAATTTAGCATATAAAAATGTAGCATTCTTTCAAACAATTTATCGTCATATACCAATATATTTTGTAACATTGTTTATTATGATTATTAGTTGTACCTTCTATTGGATTTTATCTTGGTATTTGGAAAAAGTTGTTGTAGGTAAAGAATAACTAATAGTTACAGATATCGATTGGGAATAACTGCACATGAGATCGGAGTGTGGGTGTGGAAGAAGAGTAGTCCATACCTATACATGCACACCTACATTCGTCCTCACCCACACCCTTCTACTAACTAAATTTTTATTTATGATCTATTTCTATTTAAATTTCAGGTGAATACGGTATTCCACTTGATTGGAATTTTCTTTTCAAACGAGATTATTGGCGTTCAGAAAAAGTTAATCATACTATTCAATCATTTGCTGGTCGTGCTTTACCTCTTAAAAAAAACCATTCTAATATTGCACCTATTGTACATGTAAATCATCTTGTTAAAAAATTTGGTCTTGATAAAATCGCAGTTAATGATGTATCATTTGATTTATATAAAAATCAAATAACATCATTACTTGGACCAAATGGTTCAGGTAAAACAACAATATTTAATTGTTTAATTGGAATATATAGACAAACATTTGGTATAATAACAATTGAAAGTGAAGATGGAAGAAATTTTGATACACGAACAAATATGGAATTATTAAGAAAATCGATGGGTTATTGTCCTCAACATGATATTCTTTTTGATTTATTAACTATAAAAGAACAAATTGAATTTTATGCAACAGCTCGAGGATTTGAAAAAAATAAACAACAAATAGCATCTGAAATGCTTCGTTTAGTTAATCTTGAAGAATCACAAGATCTTTATTGCAGTGCATTATCACGTGGAATGAAAAGGCGTTTATCATTAGCTTGTGCATTTGTTGGCGATACAAAAATAGTTCTCCTTGATGAAGTAAGAATTTATTTATTTTTTGATTATTTTTCTATTTTAAATATAATTTAAGCCATCGAGTGGTCTTGATCCATCTAATCGTCGTTTATTATGGGATTGGTTACG